CTAAATTAATGAAAATATTAAATTATTATTGATTACTATATTATTCACTTGTTTTATGTATTACATTAAATAGATGAAAATAATTGATTAGATTATTACAATTTATTATAAATAATTACGTTAAATTGATGAAAATAATTATTAAAATTTTATTCCTTAATTATTATCGATTATATTATTAAAATATATTATAAATACATATATTATTATTATTATTATTATTATTATTATTATTATTTATTGTATTCAAAAATATATAACAAAAATAAAACTGTTGACCTATGGTCAAATCTTATAATTTGATTATAACAAACAAATCATGGTTATCTCTAATTCTAATCTTCAAATTGTTACATGTTGCCAAACTTGAGACAAAACTATTGGAAGAAAAGTTGTCGATCAAGGAAGTTCAAGATAAAGATCGAACGAGCACTCATGAAGAAAAACTTTGCGCCAGTTCAAAATCAAGCAACAAATCGAGCACACGCGCCAAATAAATCGAAAACATTGGAACTAGATGTTTTTAACTCGTTTGTAAAAGCACTTTAATTCTTGGCAAAGACACATTGAAAATTCAAGTGATAAATTTTTTATACACGACAAAAATTCTCTTCATTAAAATGTTTGCACAAAAATTATTTTCAAAAGTAAGATTTTTCAACATAATCTTGAAAACTATTAAATCTCACTTACCTTGAAATATCTAGTAAAAAATGTCATGCAAAATATTTACTAACTGCAAACAAAACCAAAATTGTGACCTAGAAAAACTCTGGTCATCCGGACGTCAGGATGGCGAACCGGACGTCCGGTTTGTAAGCAACGGTCGAATTTTTTACCATTCTGACAAGTTTCAAACGGCTACTTTTTGGGGTCGTCCGGTTCTGAATCGAACGTCCGAGTAGGTCGTCCGGTTTGACAGAAAAGTTGGCTTTTTCAACTGCTATAAATACTAACTCACCTACCATTTGTAAAGTGGACTTTTGAGCATTCAACTGATATTCCTTTGAGCAAAAATTGTATTGATTTCTCAATTGAAAAGTCTTTTGATCAAAT